CTAAGAAGCTTAGAGAGACTCTTCCCACCTACATCTACTCAGTCAAAAAAAGAGTAAAAATTAACCCCAGGTATTGCACCTGCCTCTGTTACCCTTGCCATGTGTTGTGGTTCACAGTCTGTTTTCGTATTTTTAAAATGCACTTCTCACCCTCTTGTGATAGAAATATCCACACATACAGCAGAAGAAACCAATTCTGCCAGTAAGGGAAAACAGGAATTTCATCCAATTCTTTACAGGTACAGCTGTCTTCATCACCACATGTAGAATATAGGTTAAAACAAGAATCCCAGACTGCTTTTCTACACTTGGAGTCTAGCATGTAACATTCAGACTATAATTCCTTCTGCTTTCTCTAGTGTAGGATCTGAGGGTACAAGGTCAAGATACAATAGAATCATAACAATGTAGCATTTAAATCAGGTTTATGGTTCTACTACCTCATCCTGAAATAAGCATATTTTTTACACCATTTATAACAATTTCAAAACAAAACTGACAACACACCTAACTTTTGAGATTTCATTTTCACACATATGAAGTCCAGCTCCCATTCTGAAAAGGAGTATAGGTAAATAAACATGAGATTATTACTTCCTTATAAAACAAAATAAGGAGTTTCATCAGTCTCTGAAAGTCAAAGCTAGGTGTACTACTTCCCTGCATGATCTATGCACCTAAAATTGACTGCTCTATATTTTCTGAAACAAGAGAGAAGGTAAGGACTTGATTGGCATTAACAATTTTTACTTGAAACATAATAAACTTATTGTGTTGCTCCATTCACAGTGTCTTTCAATGGCACGAGACCGCACAGAAGCTAACCTTAGTTCTTTTTGCCAAGCCTCCTCTAACCTTAAAACTTGATTGTGACCCATGACATATATCATTTCTAGCAGATACCTCAGTTCAGACAAAAACAAAGAAATAGAAAATTCTGTGTTAATAGGGACATTAATTCCACTGTGTAATTTAAAAATAAAAATGTATGCTAACAGACATTGCCAGTTTGGCCATGAAAAGTACATAAATCTAGTATCACTGGGTTAATTAGTAATTAACCAATAATTAATATTAGTAATATTAAGTAATACTCATATCAAAGGGAAGTTGTTTTCACATCCTTTAGAAATACATTGTAACTAAAAAATATGTTTAATATAGCTATAGCTGTTAAAGCAGGAAGTCTTTCTACGCATGTTTTAGTAACAGCCCTTTTACCTTAAGGGCTACAATTGGACCAAAAAAAAAAAAAAAGAAAGAAAAAAAAAAAAAATACAGTGGTGTTCCAGCCACAGAAAAAAAGGACATGGCTAAATTTGATGTCACCATTAGCTACCTCCTTTATCTGAAAGGAGAATAGTAATAATATGCATTTCTCTGTCCTTCTCACCTGTTCCATTTACATTACTCTGAAAAAAATACTGTATAGTATTGTAGAATAGCAAAGCTCAGCAACATGCAAAATTAACATTCTTTTTGCCATTTTACTAGCTAATCAGAACTGGTGGAAAACTCATAAAGGTCTTGGCAAGGGTTACACTTGGGTAGGCTAGCAAGCAATTTGACTACTATCCTTAATTTCACAGCAGGTATTATTACTTTTAAATAATTAAACTCTTTTTCTTCACTTAATTCTGTACCTCTTTATTAGTTAAAAATAACTAAAGGCTTTATAAATAGCTACGTGATGAGTCTTTATGCCAGAAAAGGTGCCATTTTGACTTTTGAATCATAAAACAAAATTCAAATGGAGCTCCCAAAGATGAGCCTCCTAAAGATTTAGGTCCTGATTTGCACAAATTTACAAAAGGCTAGTGCCACCCCAAATTCACTCACTGAAGCTGCAGCTTTTCATATGGAGAAAATGCTGACTCTTAAGAAGATCAGAATTAGGTTTTAGTCTACATACAGTGTCAAATTCTGAAGCATTCCAGAAATTTTCTTTTTCCATAGTTTGAATAGTTTGACTTACTTGCATTTTTCACAATGCTAATTAACAGTTTTCCCCATAAGCACTTTTTTTCTTGCCTCTCCTTCCATAAGGAGTCTTTTAATACTAATTTCTTCTTACCACAAAGGTCAGAACAAAACAAAAAAATGCAATTGAAGAGTTCTCACTTTCATTTTTGTTTGGTTTCATTTTCATAAATAAATGCTATTTATAAAACTGAATAGGATTTAGCTACTCCAGTTAACTCTTCAAATTTTCATACTAACTTTGGGCAACAGACCCCGCCACATATTAAATCAGCATGGAAGACAATCTGATTCTCAGGTGGAGACAAGATAACACACTCTCAGATCAGAAGATGACATATCCATTACTGAAGTGATAAGAGTAGGCCCATGACAAGATTTTCTTAAGCACTTCCCTACTTCAAAAAATATATAAAATAAAATAAAATAAAATCGTCCATGTGCTTTGAGTGTGCTAAGTGTGACTTATCCTTTCACACTTAAAAGAAAAATCTGTTGTCCATGAGTTTTCTTTTCTCCATCCCACCATACAGCTCTCCATTAGGGCCCTTTCCAGTGGCTACGCTTTCTCTACTCATAAGGATTAAGAGAGATATAGGTCACGTCAGGACCTCTTAATACTCATGCAAAACTTGTACGCGTTTCCTCTCACGGATACCTTAAAAAGCTCTAGATTTAGTACACCCACAGACACTACATCACCACAACATCAAAGCCAGAAGGGAGGACACAAAGTGGAAACAACACGTTCAACGACTGATGCGTGCTCTTCAGCGCAGAGTCAGACAAACAGCAACCATACACCTTAAATGCTGTAAGGGAGCACTTTTTAACTAATCATGGTTCTCACCTGTGTCAGTAATTGTACTTTAAGTCCACTAACAACTTTTTTTTTTTTTTAATCTCTTAGCCGTTTACGTTCTCGGGGTATTGCCTGCACTGCTGCACAACAGAGGCCACGGGGTCCACTGAGGCCAGCATCGCTCGTGTTTCGAGCCAGCCTCAC